TGTAACATTTCGAGCTATTTACCTGTCATAAATTCAAAGGAAAATTACACTATTTAGTAGTCTGACAATATAAAACACGATACAAAAAATAAAATAGCCAAAAGAAAAAGAGACACTCTCACCCTACAGCAGATGCAGGTACATTCTGATCCAATTTATCTTGGGAAGTATGAAAACAAGTACGCGGTCTTCCCTTTAGAAGCAGCAGTGAAAAGTTCACATAAGTGAAATACACACACTAACTGAAAATGTATAACTTTTGCATTAGCTGTATTTCTACCAACAGCCACTGGTACATCCCCACTTGGATATCCCACAGGCCAAACAGCCCCAGCCTAAACTCATCACCTCTTAGTCCCACATCAAGAGTTCTCTTATCTCACTTGCTTGGGTTAGAAATTTGGATATTCTCTTGACTCACTTCCTCTTCACCCTTAAACCCAATCACCTAGCTGGCCATGTTGATGATACATTTTTCTTCCTCCCTGCTGCCACTATTCCAGTTCAGGCTATTATTATCATTCATCCTATAATTTCTCTGAAAACAGGGTCAAATGTACCAACTTCTCCACATAGCCTGGATTCTCACGGGAGAGTCACATACGGTGTTTTTTGGTGGATGCTATTTTCCTTCAGGGGTTAGCACTGTCAGTGGAGAATCACAGGGGTAATAAAAGATAAAACCATTAGCTTTAAGAGTTGCTATTTTATTATGAATTACTGCTCCAGAATACTCATTATATAAACCCAAAGATCCCCACTGATCACATTTAACCTATTGATCATTACCAAATAAAAGTCAAAATAATTAAATATTATTTGATGCTGATCTTAAAGTAATCTTGAAAATGTCTATCCTCAGGTACCATCTGAGGAGCCAGAAAGTAAAACACATTAAACCTTACAAGACAAAGACCAATGAAGGGAAGAAGGAGAGTATATGGTTAGAGGAAAAATAAATAGCTAGAATTACCGGAATGCTTGATTCAGAGTTTGATAATGAAAATGTTCTGGAGCCAATCCTATGACCACAGCATTAGGATCACTTGTTTCTATTCCTGTGAATAGAAAAAAATAAATTATTGAAAATGCAATTCAAAGCAATATCATATTTTATAACAAAGTGGTTATAGTCAAACAAGTGCAAATATTTCTACAGCCTTAACCTAAAATTTAAGAGATTATAGTGCCCAGTGTACTTTGGAAATCTAAGAGAAAGAGAGATATAGTAAAAGATAAGGAGAAAGAGGGGGAGAGAAAGACTCTCCTAATATTTTTCCATATTCCTTGCACTTGGTCTTACAGCTCTTAGAGCTACTCAGTAACTAGAAGATCTGAATTGAAAACTGGAACCTGATATTCTCAAAAGAAGTACTATTTTCTGACTTCAAAATGCTTCACTGATTACAATCAACGAGAACAGATCAATAGCTACTGATGAAAGACTGCGAATTTAAGGGGCAAGGGAAATCAGACTTTCTAATTGACACAGTTGAGGTTAACACATTCATGGCAACCTCATATGAAACGCACTGCAGATTCTACAGGTTTTGACATGGTCTGACCTACTTTTAGTTTCACAAATATTTTATAATAATTAAAACATGTTTGAAGGCCTTGGAATCTTATAACTGGACTTCAGATAAGACAATCAAGTAAGCACATTTACTGTTTCAGTTATTAAAAATCTGATTAAGCATTTCAAGGATTATCGACATGCCAATTCCTATTTGCCTCTCTTAATGCCTACAGATGTTCAAGCTTTCCGATTTCTTCCTTACCAGTTGCTACAGTATTGAATAACTGGCAAAAGTCTAGTGAAGGAAGAAAATAAAAGTGTGGGTTACAGTAAGAGTTGAAGTAATTCTGTGTTAATTCTTTTTATTTTTTATTTTTTTTGAGATTAAGCAGGTAAGTTTTATTACCAAATGTTAACAATTCTACAAAAACTCTGGAGCATTGTAGTAAGGATTGCTGCCTATCTTAGTCTTTCAGAGCTTTGGGCAGACATCTTTAGGAATCAAGTATGAAGAACTTTCTTTCTCATCTTAAGTGCCAGTTATAACCAATTTTTACACACAAAAAATTTGTTCAAATTTTCCTACCACACCAAATGGCACTCAAAAGGCCATTACTGGTCAGCTGAAGAGGGACATATTTGGCTCTCCATTCAAGGTGTTGATCAAATTAAATAAAAATAGCATTCACATAAATCGGCATGGCAGTTAATTCTTTTTGTTATTTCCATCTAACATTAGCAAAGACATTCAGTATTAGCAAAGATATTTCCATTCCCTTCAAAAACCCATCTATCTTGGCTATTTTCTAATATATAAAGGTGCTGCAAATGTACTTAGATTGAATAACAAAGATTTCTTCTTTCTTCTTATATATCCCAATTCCAGCTGAAACAGCTGGAATCTTCACATTCCTCAAAGTAAAAGGAGATAAATCTGATTATAAAATTGTTTTATAGTCCTGTAGCTTGTCCCCAAACAGAAATACAATGATTATATGATGCATTTTGTCATTATTTTTGGTTGCCCAGTTTCTGAATACCATTCTCATAATTAGGTAATTCACTAGCTCATGAGGCTTGCTGACAGGCAGAGCTCACTCTCTCTCTCACTACCAGGTACCATTCCCAGCCTCCCTTGTAGCTAAAAGAGCTGGCACAAGACTGAGACTCTGTCAATCAGAAACCCTCACGTGGGGCTTTGAATTGGAAGCTGTTAACACAAAGCTACAGGGAGAAATCTCTGAAGAGGTGACTACTGATCCTATCAGATTCTGAGGCAGCACCGCTGGTGGGTCAGCAGGATGAGCTGCAGAAGTCCATGCTGAACAGGGACATCAGTGATCTGTGGCACAATGCTGCACAGCCCCCTTAAGTCTAACTCTGCAGCTCTCCTCAGCCATTCTGTGGGCTGCCCAAACAGCCTATTTTTTTCTTCTTTTAAAAAAAATTTCAGATTACTATGAAGGTACAAACATTGGGTGACAATGTTTGCTTTTGTTAGGTAAGGTCCCTGTTGTAATTGTGCCCCTCAGCCAAATCTGCCATATATGTCCATTAGGTGAGAGCACACCAATCCTCCCACCACTCCCCTCAACCTGAATTAAATTGAGTTTTGCTCTTGTGTGGGCACAAACAGACTATTTTCTCTTTTTGTTATGGAAATTTAAAAAAATAATATATATATATGTGTGTGTGTATGTATGTACATACAAGTTGGAAAAACTTACAATGAGCCCTGACATACCCATCATCCAGCTTTTATAACCATCAACATTTTGCCAACCCTATCTATCATCCCCTACATTATTTTGTCCAGATAGTCTAACAATGTTATCCCCTACATTTTTAGAAGTCTTTTTAAAGTGAATCTCAGATATCATGGCATTTCAACTCTTCATATTTTAGTGTCTTAACTGATAAGAACTTAAAAATATTATTATATCAACAAAGTTAATAATTCTTTAATATTGCTCAATATTTAGTACATATTTAGTTTCTCCAAATTTCTCAAAGTATCTTTTTACACTTAGACCCTAAACTGACAGCCCAACAAGGTCCACATGTTGCATTTGATTGTTTTCTCTTAGTTTTCATTTTATCACATCACTCCTTTCCCCTTATTGGTATAATTAGATCAGTAATCCTGGAGAGGGCCCATATTCTGAATCTAGCTGAGTCTCTGTAATATTATTTAAGTTGTTCTTTTATTCTTATCTTTCTTGTGAACTGGTAATTAGATCTAGAAGGAGTGTCCAACCTTTTTTTTTCTGCCGCACATTGGAAAGACTTGGGTTGGGCCACACATTAAGATACCTAAAGATGAACAAAAGCTGATGAGTGGGGAAAAAATGTCTGTGTATAGTTTTCGCAATATCCAACACAAAACATAAGCAAAACAGGCCACAAATAACCTACATGTGGGTCGAGGCTGGACACCCCCAATGGAGTTTTCACAAGTTCACATCCAACTTTTAGGCAAGTTTATTTCATAGGCAACACAATGAATTTCCTATTATACTACATCAGGAAGCATAGGAGTTCTCGTTATTCTACTTTAAGATGTTAAGATTAGCCAAGGGATTCGAGTGATCATCAGTCTGATTCCTCCATTTTGAAGCTCCCCATCATCAGCCCCCTCACCTAATGTTTTTAAAATGATGTTGCCTACTTCACTATGACTTGCCAAATGGTGATTTTCTAATTCTGTCATTCCTTTTGCATTTCCCAACTATAATTCCTCTTTAAAGAACTCATCCACAGCCAGGCTCAGTGGCTTACGACTGTAATCCTACTACTTTCAGAGGCTGAGACAGTAGGATCACTTGAGGCCTGGAGGTCAATATCAAACTAAACAACACAGTGAGAACTTATCTTTACAAAAAAAATTAAAAAATTAGCTGGATGCAGTGGCACATGTCTGCAGTCCCAGCTACTTGGGAGGCAGAGTTAGGAAGACTGCTTGAACCCAAGAATTTGAGGTTGCAGTGAGCTATCATGATGCCACTGCATTCTAGCCTGGGCAACCAAATGAGGCCCTGTCTCAAAAAACAAAACAAAACGAAACACCCCCTAGTCCAAGACAATTTATTCTCATCAAATATTTGGTTATCTGAAAATACTACTGAAAATATGGTTCAAATATGGAAGGCAGTATAAATGCTTGTTTTATTTTCTCAAATTGTTAAGCTTTCAGAGTAGTAAGTTGCTGCCCTAGAAACCTACAATAGTAACCAATATGTTTTGGGGGCTGAGATCACTTTGAACTCATGGCTTTTTATAATATATCCATGATGTGCTTCAATCCATTGCAAACATTCTTCTTTTTTTTTTTTTTTTTTCCAAGAGATAAGAGTCTCATCGTGTTGCCCAGACTGGAGTACAATGGCTATTTACAGGTACCAGTGCAGCCTCAAACTCCTAGGTTCAAGTGATCCTCCCTTCTTGGTTTGCAAAGAGCTTGAATTATAGGCATGAGCCAATGCGCTGAACTCCATTATCCTTCTTAATACTCAGATTATCCCTTTAATTGGCTCCTGCCCATTAGACAAGACTTTTAGTCTTCAGTGGTTTCCTTGCTAACACAATGAACTATTCCAGACTCATCAATGACTGCCCAGATCTGGACTCAGTCATTTCTCCATGCAACTGTAGTGGGAAATGGGAGTGGATACCATTTAAAGGACTGAGTTGTCTGTCATTGTTTCTAGGCCTTTTCAGTGGAAAATGTAGATAATATGTATTTTTAAAAGAAAAAAGGAGTTAATAATTTCAATTTAAAATCAGTTGCAGATTTTATTTGGCTTGTTTGTCCCTTTGATTGACATTTAAACTCTTGACTCCCCAAAATACTTAGCTACTATGTTGCTTTATCCTATAATTTTAAAAATAACAATACCAATAGTACTTATAGCAATAAGACTACTGATGAGATTTAAGATCTCTTTGTAGTTCTTTTGTTCTTAGCATTTGTCCCACTATGAAAGAACAAGTCAAAATACTGTATTTTAAAGTGAACTGAAGAAATTCTTTTCTCTGAATAGTTACATCACCAACTTAAAATAGAATTAAGTTCATTCCTATTTGTTTTTAGTTTTTAGGGACTGATTTTTTACTTTTTAATTGTCTTAATTACGTGAAATATTTACATGATTATAAAGTAAAAACTATGTATCAGGGTACTTTTAGAAAAGTCTCCTCTCTTTTTCTCACTACCCCTTTAGGTAACTATTTTTATTAGTTTTTCATTTATTCTTCTTTGGCTTCCTTTTATAGATATACGCCATATACACATATATGTCCATTTCCTTCTCAATTTTCTACAAAGAAAATGTGTAAGGCTTTCTATACTTGACCTTTTTAATCTCTTCTGAAGATCACTCCGTATCAAGAGATAGAACTCTTTGTCATTACTTATTTTTCAGCTACAAAGTATTCCACTTTGGGGATTTATAAGTTGATTCAATCAGTTCCTTCCAATAAACATTTGGGCTGTTTCCGATCTATTGTTATTATAAGACCATTATGAATAACCTTGTTCATGTGTGATTGTGTATTTTGGTAACCATATTTTAGAGAGAGATTCCTACAAGTGCTGCTTCATATATAATTTTGTTAGCTATTCCCAAAGTCCTATGCATAAGCCTTGTGTCATTTCATATTTCTGTCAGCTTTCAGATTCTTTTAATAAATTTGTTTTCTGTTTAATTCAGCCAAAGTTGGTTTCTGTATTTTATAAGTAATAATTCTGATTGATATGCCGGTATATTTCCTATTGCTACAAGTTTTGAGGTCCTTCCCTACTGTATACTCACGCTGCACTTCTCTAATCACTATTTGTAAACCATCACATGGTTTAATGATGAATGTGCTTATATTCATTATTCTATATTGTGTTACTTTACTCTGAGTATCTTCTACAAAAAGAAGCAATGTGGCAAAGTTTCATAAAAGTACAATATTTTTCCAGAATCTGTTGATTCTTCCAAAGCGAAAACAATTTTACCCTCTCTTCATTAAAAAATATTTCATGGCTCGGCGCCTGTGGCTCAAGCAGCTAAGGCGCCAGCCACATACACCTAAGGTGGCGGGTT